TTCATGCTATGGAAGATTACATTACAATAATTTCAATTTAGTGACACATAACATATGTAACAGGAATCGAGATAGGTAACATATATACAATATAGCTGCCGTTAAGAACGATACATCAACCAGGAACAACGCATCAGTCAATCATCGAAGTAAAAGAAGACATTGGCCTTATGCAAACCTATGTGATTGTTTTATTTATTGCATTGCATGATTTAGAATTTTGGAGTTCAATTCATAATTACCACGAGGATCACCCCATAATAAAATATTTAAACTAATAATTCTAGGATCAATGAGATCATCGAATAATTTTTGCCGTTGTTCAGAATACAAAGGACAATGAAAAAAGAAATGATTAGCATCTTCTATTGATAGACCACAAGAACATGTTGCATCATCAACTATGTTATAATTGAGTAGATCAGATTTTAGCGCACTACATCCATGACGAATCTTGGTTATAAGAATATTTTCACGTCTTGGTCCATTGTAGAAAAAGCTCGGGGCATTATCAATATAAAGTCTCTTTTTCAAGTTATATTTCAGTGAGTTCAAATTATCAGTCGATTTTATGTTTTCATCAAGATTATTCCAGTCACGAATAGTAGTTGCAAAGAACGAATTGAGAGCTATATTAAGTCTCGAAGAGGGTGTTTGAATGTCGTTTATATTTCGGAGATTATAATGTTTATCATTTAAACTATCTGATAAATAATCTGGTGCCGAGCCATTTACGATTTTAAAGAATGATATAAGACGCCTATTTTTCTTAGTAGGGGTAATCCCGTTTCAAAATATAAGGATTGTCTACTTGCATACTTAGGTAATCCCGTAATAATTCGTGTGGCTTCAAGTTGAAGTTTCTCAAGTTTTTCACTATCACTTTGACTACATCCATCCCAGACCTCACAACAATACTCAAGTATTGACCAAATATAAGTTTTATATATATCTAGAAGCGTTTTTCGTGTCAATTGATACTTTAAACTTTTTAAAATATTTAATAATTTTGATGCTGATTTTTAAAGATTTTCAATATGAAGCGACCATTTGGCATCGGAAGAAAAGGAAACTCCTAAGTGTTTATGATAGTTTACTTTTCTAGCTTTTTACCACCAAAATATATATTTGGATTTTCAAAGTGGACTTTATTAGTAAACAAGACAACTTTGGTCTTATCACGATTAAATTTAACTAGCCAGTCCCTGGCCCGATTGTGCAATTTTGCTAAATCAGAATTGATAGAATGTTCAATATCTGGAATGCAGGATTTGTTGCAACCAATAGCAGTATCATCTGCAAATAATCTTGAGAGATTTTGAAGAGTATCGTGAACATCATTCAGGTAAATCAAAAATAAAAAGGGTCCCAAGATCGAGCCTTGAGGTACTCCAGATATTACATATTTTTCAGAGGATGTCGAATAATAACACTTTGTCGACGATCATTAACATAACTATTTAACCAACTCAATATGTTTGCACAAATGCCATATTTTTCTAACTTAAGGATCAGACCTCGGAGATAAACTCTGTCGAAAGCTTTGGAAATGTCACAGAAAGTGTAGCAAGAAAATTGTTTTTCATCAATCGCTTTCACCACATCGTAATTTACCTCAATTAGTTGAAATACAGGAGAATACGAAGGTCTAAAACCAGACTGGTATTTATAAAATAAATTGTTAGTATTAAAATAATCATATAGATCATTAAAAACAATTTTCTCAAAAATTTTACTTAACGAACTAAGCAAGGAAATTAGTCTGTAGTTAGTTACCTGAGACTTATCACCTTTCTTAAACATTGGCATCACCAAAGCTTTTTTCCAAACGTCAGGAAATATTCCCTCTTTTAATGAAAGATTATAAATTAGCGTCAACGGTATAGTGATAGTATCAATGGTGTTTTTTAAAAGTGCGTGGCTTATATTGTCAAATCCATTTGCTTTTTTCGATTCCAATTCTTTAATCACGTCTTGAACTGTTTTCTCAGTCACTATCGACATATGAAATTTCAAGTTTGTACGAGATTCAAATACTGGTAAATTAGCCTCTGACGTGTTATTGGATATTGAACTAAAGAAATTATTGAGAAGTTCAGCTTTCTCATTGTAATGGCCTCACTAGCTCATAGAATCCGCAAAAACTTAATTTATATATTTAATTATCAACAACAATGGCGTCATACATAAACAAACTATATAAAGATCTTGATAATCCAGTAACTAAAATTATGCAGGGAAACAACTCTATTTCGAGTTCTAATTATTCAGACCACAATACTACATTCCTCCTTATCTTTAGATTGGTACAAATACTAAATGCAAAACTGAAAATGAGATTCAAAAATGTGAATTAATAACAATTACAATAATCATATTGAATATTTTGAAACAAACAAAACTGACATTATTTCTTTGTCTTACAGTCTACAACATAGTCCTTAAATTTTTCTGGGGCGCGTTTTATCCTTAGAGATTTCCGTGTAGGATTAGTGTTTGTTCCTTGTACATCCAAAGTATTTGTATCGACTTGATTTCCGTTATTCCTATTAATTTGTTCCTGATCACTATGATTATTATCACTTACGGTATTTTCATTTTCACATGCAACACTTTGATTAGGATCTGAATGTACACTATCCTTTTGACTTTGATCACTTTTATTTTTGTCACGCGAATTATAATCTAACAACGTAGAATTTTTGATAATGTCATCCAAATTTGTTTCATCTTCCTCGTCTACACTTCGCGAATTTAAATTATCACTTATTGCAATAACAGATCTTATTGGAATTTCCAACAATTTAAAATGCGAGGCATTTCGCGTAATGCTTTTGCCATCTGATAATCTTGTCGCAGTAATCATTGTACCTTTCACACGTACTACTACATACGGTTGCGGATCATAAGGAGTAGTCAGTTTACATTTTTTCTTGATTTTCACTAACACAGGATTTCCGACAATAAACTTGTGTGGTTTCACATGCCGCTTCTGGTCTGCATACTCTTTTATCTCCCCTTTTTTCTTTGTGTCCTTGGCAAGGTAATCTAGATTTTCAGGAACATCGACTTGAAATGTAGGTAATTTAGTGTTGACTATCCGTTTCATGAACATTTCATATGGAGATTAACCAGTTGAAGTTCTAGGTGTTGCTCGGTAATTCAATAAGAAAGAATGAATTTCCGATCTCCAATCAGCTCCTTCGATATTGACTGTCTGTGCAAATTTAACTAAAGGTTTCATAAATCGTTCCGCCATCCCATTAGCTTCTGGCCATAATGGGGTAACCGGAGAATGTTTACAACCAATGTCCTTCAAATATTGTTTAAACTCGAAACCGTTGAACGGAGGACCGTTGTCACTTTTGAGAGTTTTTGGTATTCCAAACAACGCAATTATTTAACGTATTGTCTTTAATGGTTTCGTCATGAACTTCTTTTAGCGTAACGGCTGGGAGTGAACATTGTTTTATTATAGCTCTAACAGTTTCTTCACAATGTTTATAAAAATGTTTATCATCGTCACTATTAGGATCAGGATGTCTGCTAAGATAATCAGCTGGGTTGAATTTTCCTTTTTCGTAGATAAGCTGAAATTCAAATTGTTGCAAGTACAACAACCATCTTTCTAATCGAATGGGTGGTCTACTATTTGGATTATTAAATAATGGTCACAACGGTTGATGATCGGTCACAATTTCAAACTTTGAACCAATAACATACATATAAAGTCGTTCACAAGCCCACCGTGCTCCCAATGCTTCACGTTCTATTTGACTGTATCTTTGCTCGACCTTAGTGAGGGATCTGCTAGTAAATAAAATAGGATGCCAAAATCCATTTTGTTTTTGGGCAAGCATAGCTGCAATACCAGTTGGACTAGCATCAACGTACACTCTAGTTGGTAATGCGGTATTGTAATACGATAATGTAAGATCTCTAGAAAGACTAGATTTAAGTTCATCAAATGCCTGCTGTTCTGTTGGACCCCATTGCATAACAGCATTTTTCTCTGTCAACTTCCGTAGTGGCGTTGAAATTGTTGAGAACTGAGGTATGAATCTCGATGAAAAAGCTAACATACTCAAAAATGATCGAACTTCGCTTACTGACTTGGGTATTTGTAGTCGTTTGATTGAAGCTATTTTTTCTGGATCAGCCTCATTCCTTGGTCCGAAAACACAAATCCAAAACAAATCGATTTGTGATGACATAAGTTTACATTTTGATTTATTAAGTGTTAGTCCGCACTCCCGGAAGCGTTCAAATACTGCCTGTAACGCTTGATTATGATTCTGAACAGTTGAACCATAAACTATAATGTCATCTCCAATATTAATTACTCCAGGAATGTCACCAACAGTTTTATACATAATGTCATCGAAAATATCTTGAGATGATACGGCACCATAGTTTAAACGTTTATATCTCTTTTTACCATTAACACCATAAAATGTTGTAAGATGTCTAGATGTCTCTTCCAGCTCAATTTGATGATACGATTCATTCATATCTAATTTGCTAAAATGTTGTGCTCCATTTAACTTAAACGCTATATCTTCCACTGTATGTGCTTCAGTAATAGGCCTCTTAATAGCGATATTGACTGGTCGCATATTAACACAATATCTGATGGAATCTGGCTTATGAGGTTTTGTTGCTATTACAGGATTTGTACACCATGACGTAGCTTCATTAGATGGGACATCCTCAATGATATCTTGATCCATCAACCGTTTCTCTTCTGCCACGGCTTTGTCTTCTAAGTTGTAAGGTACTTTTCTCTGTTTCTGGATAACA